TCTATTTGTCATGAAGTGATGGGACCAGATGCCATGATCTTTGTTTTCTGAATGTTGAGCTTTAAGCCAACTTTTTCACTCTCCTCTTTCACTTTTATCAAGAGGCTGTTTAGTTCCTTTTCACTTTCTGCCATAAGGGTGGTGTCATCTGCATATATGAGGTTATTGATATTTCTCCGAGCAATCTTGATTCCAGCTTGTGCTTCTTCCAGCCCAGCGTTTCTTATGATATACTCTGCATATAAGTTAAATAAGCAGGGTGACGATACAGGCTTGATGTGCTCCTTTCCCTATTTGGAACCAATCTGTTGTTCCATGTCCAGTTTTAACTGTTGCTTCCTGACCGGCATACAGATTTCTCAAGGGGCAAGTCAGGTGGCCTGGTGTCTAGGATAAATACCTAGTTCATTAACATAGTTTAAGAAAAACATTTCCATAAGGAAAACCATTGGTTAGCTCAAGGTTTGAGGAAAGTTAAGTTCAGGTGGAGCCAGGTGTCATCATGGCAACACAGAATTTTTTTAAGACCTCTTTTTAACGTTTTATAAAGGAGGGGAAAATATCTGCAACTTGTAGTTTGTTTCCTCCTGCTGCTTAAGAAAGATATAAAAAATGTCTGACACTTGCAGCCTATTTTCTCCTTTAGGGGGCCTCTAGCCTTCCTGCCTGTTACCCGCTCAGCTGATATGGTAAAACTCTTCCATAACGTGATTCTGTCTTTATGTTGGTATGGTCTACAGTCCTGTCCGTAACCTGTGTGTGTTATATCTTGTTTATTCATCACTTCTACTGTAATTGATCATAGTCATGGCTCCAAATGGCTTGCCATCACATCTGCATTTCAGCAGTAAGTAGAATCAAGAGGAAGAGGAGTGAAAATTCCATTTTCATTGTATGATCCCTGGAAGTTGCACAGATATCTCCATTTATATCCTTTGGACAGAATTTAGGCACATGGCCACAACAGGTTGCACGATTGGTCAGGTATAGACATTCATAAAGGGTTTAAAACTATAGGAGTGGAGACTGCTTAGTTATTATGAACCTTTAGTTGAAGATCAAATAAAAAATATCACAAAGACTGCTTGGAGAAAAGACAATTTTTGAAAAAGAGACTGAGGTCATATAGGACATGAAATGTTAGGTGTGTCTGGAGAATTAATGATACTGCATTTATACTGAAGTATAATGTTTCCTGGACAGGCTAATCATCTTTTTTTTTTTTCATTTATTTTTATTAGTTGGAGGCTAATTACTTTACAATATTGTAGTGGTTTTTGTCATACATTGACATGAATCAGCCATGGATTTACATGTATTCCCCATCCTGATCATTGTTACTTCTTGTTATCAACATAAGCAATCTTTTCTTTTCCTGCTTCCAGATCCTACCTATGTGTTTAGGATTTCAAAACATGAGTGTGTGGAAGAAAAATTCTTATTGGAAATACCTATACTAAGATCTTTGGGGACATAGTTAAAGATTTTTTTTAATATATAATTTTACTGTTAAAAATATTTAGTGCCTGGGGAGAACATTTGAATAATAAATGTTTGATCTTTGCAATTGGTGTTCTTAGATTTCCTATCCTCCTGTGAATAATTCACAAATTTTAGATATCTTCCTGCAGAACACAGAAAGCATAAATACTCCATGGGTCAAGTGTTGATTTATTTTATAGCATTTGGGGTGATACTTAGAAAAGTATTCAATACGTAAATATGTATTTATTTATGTACCTTTCTAAGAATTTGTCCATTTCTTCTAGATTGTTCATTTAGCAATAGGAAAATTTAATACAGTAATCAAAAAACCTGAAGGAAAACAAAGTGCTTATCAAAGCATGCACAAAGTTGCCATAAAATGATCTGAGAGAAGTATGTTGAGGAGTTGAGTGAGATCTGTTCAGAGAATGGAATATCAGTGTGCTCTGTTCAGCATGATGACAAAAGTATTAACTACTGAGCAGAGATGATTTTGTCTGAATAAATCTGTGTACATATCTTCTTAAAAATATGTTCGAAATTTTAAGTATTTTGGGGAGACTGATTTAACACTGAAAAACATGAAAAGAATTGGTATGTAAAAAATTTTAAATTTAAAAACTGGATTTCCTTTTAGATATGTTTTAATTTACTTTTGTTCTATTTTTATCATTAAACTTTAACCTCACTTTTCCAATGTTTTAAATATTGCTTTAGGAAAGGCATATGGAATACACAGGTGATTTACTATTGATAAACTTTTCCTTTTTAAATATATTTCATTTTCATAATAGCTAATGCAAGTAAACATTATTGCATTCATAGGCTGACTTCTAATGGTTTTGTAATTGAACTTTATTAATTTTTTTTACAGTGTGTGTTGGGGAAAGTTTCTGTGTTAAATTGTTGAAGTTGAAGATAGATAATTTGACATGGTAAAAGTTTGATTTAGGTGTTTAATATATGCACTCCTACAATTTTTGTCATTGAGTCATTTGCGTAAATAAACATTTATTATTGATTGCTCCGTAATTATTTGCATATAAACTGAATGTCCAGGAAAAATAATTATCTCTTTCTTTGCCCATATTTATCTACATTATTAACTGCATGATTTCGACAGCAGATCTTATTTCCTTATCTTAGAATTCTCCTATAAACTCCTCTGGATATTACTGAAAACAACTTCTATTAGTCCATATATGATTACTTTTATTTGCATAGTTGTGTTTCCAATAGTAGCATGTGCTTCAGAGACTAGAAATAAACCTGGGTATCCTGAATAGACCTTGTCTTCTCTATCTCCCATCACGAAAGCGTGATCATTTTATGTGTTTGATGAGGGAGATACCAAGGAAGTAACATTTCCCTAGACATATCATGAATCATTTTTTCTTTAAGAAATACGCTATAGTTGGACTAAAACTATTTGAGGTTGAGGTATTTTTCCAGGCAATCTTGATTCCAGTTTGTGCATCATCCAGCCTGGCACTTCACATGATGTACTCTGCATAGAAGTGAAATAACCAGGCTGACAAAATACAGCCTTGATGTACTCCTCTCCCAATTTGGAACCAGTCAGTTGTTCCATGTCTGGTTCTAACTGTTGCCTCTTGACCTGCATACAGGTTTCTCAGGAGACAGGTAAGTGGTCTGGTATTCACATCTCTTTAAGAATTTTCCACAGTTTGTTGTGATCCACACAGTCAAAGACTTTACCATAGTCAATGAGGCAGATATTGAAATAAACTGGTTCAATGATTTCTGCTACTGTTAGTTATGATGACAAAATGAAGACTTCATTGCTCTTTCATGGATTATACTAGTAGACTGACAAAATAGAACTTCTATTAATGGAATATTAATGTAGATAAAATAATAATATAAAGTAAAAATCAGAATATACACACATATATATAGAGAGAGAATGCTAATAACATTTATATAGGAGAGATTTGGAAAAAAACAGTGTTCTCCTGAAGATAGTGTTTTATTTTAGATATTGACACACTTTGGTTTCCTTAGCCCAGGACGCAGGTCCGATACACTTAATGTCCACTCTGCCTCCTTTCTGTTCTTGCCTGTCTAATATCTGAGAAGACCACCAAAACAGATACATGACCTGGATTCCTTTATTCCATTATCTGGGGCTTCAGATGAGTAGGAGGTTGAGAAGATGAGTGCGAGTCTGACTCAAAACTTAGAAATTTGTCATGTAGCTAAATATTTTTCTTCAATGATTTTCCTTTTGGAAATATAGGCACTGAATGGCCTTTTTCCCGACACATTTGGCTCTTCTATATTACACTAGGAAACAATCATTATATGAGAAACTAGGTGACAGACATTAGGATAGGATGATTTTACTGAGGTTGAAGAAAAGACAGAGTATCCCAATAGGAGGGGATCCTGTGGAGACATTTTTTAAGAGTCAACAGGTAGCATTCCTCTTCCTGTATTTCCTAGGTTTGAAAAAAACAGAGACTATAATCCCTGCTTTTCCTGTGAAGGATATGTTTTTTGTAGAAGATTTTTAAAAATATTTTTAGCCCGATGCCAGTTTGTAAACTAGGGATTTTATAAAGTACATTCTATGTGAAACATAAATCTGACATGCATGCCAATGTATGGCAAAAACCACTACAATATTGTAAAGTAATTGGCCTCCAACTAATAAAAATAATTGGTAAAAAAATTTAAAACAAACAAACAAACAAAAAAAAAAAAAGTTATCTATTTCATTAACTTTCAAACAATCTCCTGAATTATGTTAACAAGGCACAGTAGATTTACTTCCAGAGACAAATCCCAGTGCTATATATGGATAATCCCCTTTTCTGTGTCTTATCTTTGTGTTTTCTCCTGAAAGCTACTCAAAAGAAGAAGAAAAAATGAGAAACTACACAGAAATAAGAGAGTTTATCCTCCTGGGACTGTCAGATGACCCACAACTTCAGGTTGTGAGCTTTATCTTTCTGCTCATCACCTACATGCTCAGCATCACTGGGAACTTTACCATTATCACCCTGACTCTGATGGATGCCCACCTCCAAACCCCCATGTATTTCTTCCTCAGAAATTTCTCCTTATTAGAAGTTTCATTCACAACTGTCAATATACCTAAGTTCTTGGCCACCATTATTACAAGAGATAAAACCATCTCTTTTAATAATTGTATGGCTCAGTTATTCTTTTTCATTCTCTTGGGAGTCAGTGCGTTTTACCTTCTGGCTACCATGTCCTATGACTGTTACATTGCCATCTGCAAACTGCTGCATTGCAGCACCATCATGAATCACAGAGTATGCACACTGTCTTGGCCTCTTGGCTGGCTTCATTCTTAATCATATTCCCATTAGTAATGCTCTTCCTACAACTTGATTACTGTAAGTCCAATGTTATGGACCATTTTAGTTATGATTATTTCCCCTTATTATACCTTTCTTGTTCAGACACCAAATTTCTAGAGATAGTAGGGTTTCCCTGTGCTGTGTTTATTCTATTGCTCACTTTAGCATTAATAATTCTGTCCTACACATATATCATCAGAACAATTTTGAGGATCCCTTCTACCACTCAGAGGACAAAGGCCTTTTCCACGTGTTCTTCCCACATGATTGTCATCTCCATCTCTTATGGCAGCTGCATTTTCATGTATATGAATCCATCAGCAAAGGACAGGGTGTCTTTGAGCAAGGGGGTGTCTGTGCTAAACACCTCCATAGCTCCCATGCTGAACCCCTTTATCTATACCCTAAGGAATCAGCAAGTCAAGCAAGCCTTCATGGAAATGACAAGGAGGACTGTATTTTTCTCAAGCAAATGAAAAAATAAGAGTCCTGTTTTATGAATGAAAAGCAATTAAACAAAAATCCAGGAATTTCAAAATCTATTAATATCCACACAGCCTCCCTAGATTCACTTTTCATCATTCATATTTTTATTGTCAGCAGTTTATCAAGGATATTCGCATATGTATATTTTCTTTTTGCCATTCAAATTTGAATTTTATATATATATATACACACACAAATATATACTTATACATATGTATACAGTTTTTTCCATTCAATTTACAATCCTTCTCTCATGTATTTTTCTTCCGTTGGGGCTGGTTTTTCCAGTCTGTAACTATGGGAGTGATTTTATTTCCTTCTTTGAAACATTTTTAATTTCATTATTTCACACACTAATTTTTAGAAAATTAAAGTCGGAAAGAGGCAGAGCAGGTGCACACAAGAGAGAATCGTGTTTTACGATTTCACCAGAAATCATTCTTTCTAGAAATTAAATTAATATTAAATCATATTTAACCTTATTTTTAATTTACTACACAAAGACTATAAACATAATCTGGCAGTCTTACTAGAATCTTGCACATACTCTCCTTTTCATACTGTGGTCTACTTTGTAACTATGTGAAAAACAATACGGCTAAAAGAAAAATGTAATTGCATTTTCTTGAGAAATCAAAAAGCTTTTCCCATTATCGAGTTTAGCATTTTCTGTGCTGTGTTCAGTCGCTCAGTCATGTCCAGCTCTTTGTGACCCTGTGCACTGCAGACTCCCCGGTTGCAGAAGGCTGCAGCCAGGCTTCCCTGTTCCTCACTATCTCCTGGAATTTGTTCAAACTCATGTCCATTGAGTCTATGATACCATTCCAACATCACTGTATTCTTCTTCAATTAAAAAAACCATTATAATGAATAGTTGCTTAGGGAAAATTATGATACCGACCCTGCTTTGGAGGAATGTCAATATTAACATGTATACAATAACAATTCTTCTAAAAAGCCTGAAGAAACTGGCAACTTAAAAAACTTGAGAGTTGTGTGTTCAGTTTTTAAGTGGGCAATATGAGCAACCCAGGAGACAGCGCCTCAGATGACTCTGGGAAACTTGAGAAACCGTTCCAAAGAGGCACAGGGGAAGGATAGCATACGTGTGGTTTTGATAAATGGGGATTATATGCAATTAAGCACATATTTATTTTAGAATTTCTGCTGGTCTTCTGAAGCTTCTGCCAGTCATGAGAAACAGTTTGCACCATGAAGAATTTTAGTACCTTTCTACATATGAGGAGATACAATAATTGGGCTCATAAAATCAGCTCCTGAGTGTATCTAACTATCTGGAGACCTGTCCTGGCAGTTTTCCTGGGGCAGAGTGTGCCTCATTTCTTCTTTTTACCCTCACTTCTTCAGGGGGTGTTGAAGGTCAGACTATAAACATAATCTGGCAGTCTTACTAGAATCTCCAACTAATAAAAATAAATGAAAAAAAGAAAAAAAACTGGTTTGATGGTGCTGAATTCTCTCAATTTTTGCTTATCTGGAAAGCTTTTGATTTCTCCATCAAATCTGAATGAGAGGCTTGCTGGGTAGAGTATTCTTGGTTGTGGGTTCTTCCATTTCATCACTTTAAATATATCATACCATTCCCTTCTGGCTTGTAGAGTTTCTGTTAAAAAGTCAAGGGATAACCTGATGGAATTTCCCTTGTATGTTATTTTTCCTTTGTTACTTTTAATATTTAATAAAGTTCTTATATAACTTAGAATTATGAAAGAATCTTGAAGCTCCAACAATAATGAAGTCTCAGGATAAGCAATGAAGTGTATATGTAGAAAACTTTTATACGTCAAGAATATGACTAAAACTAAAGTAGATTGAGTGCTATTTTTGTAAGATTTCACATTGATTTTATTACTCAAAAATATTAAATAATTGTGATTAATGAAAGGGATTATTTTGTAGAAGTCCTCATTGAACTCTTCTGTGGGATGAACATAAACATTCCCAAGAGAGATTCACTATAGAAGAGAGTCAAGAGGCTCTGAGAACACCAATGGAAGCTTCCAGAAATCCCCGATGTTCCACATCATAGCACAGCTGTCGCCTGGACTTTGTTCCCAGGAGATCAACACATGTCTGTCTTCATAGGTCACAACAGCTAAACCTGAATATTTGAGCATTTAGTGCAACTAAATGCCAGATCCTAGTTTAAGAATCTACACTCGTAATACCCCAAGTTGCCATGTCACTTGCAGTTCTCGCTTTAAATATTGCTCCCTTAAACTTCTAGACCAACGTTATTGAAGAGGATGATCATATACTCCCACATCTTCTTAAGGTTTCTGATATTCCATTTTTATTTCTGTGAATCATCATAAAATAGAGAAAAAATAATCAAATTTGATTCGTGTGATGTTCACTAGTGTCTGGCAGAGTAGCAATGATTTATCTTCTATTATTCACAGCAGAAATGTGAGTATGTAAAGTAAGATAGGGAGCTATCATGATTTTAGCAAACCAGATACACAGAATGATAGACACATCCAGTGGAGCTGGGAATCAGCTGAATGGCTTTGGATTAATAGGAGAGGTTTTCCTCTACATTTCGGTAATATCCTTTTGGATCAGTCACCTCATGTAAAAGATAAATGTGGGGTAGAATTCCAAGGGAATAAAACAGTTTTTCATAAAGTTTAATAGCTGAGAAGCAAGGATGTTCAAATGGAAAATGTACTGGGCTAAAGTCTGGGTGACAGAGCTACTACTATCTGAGGCAAGTAGTTACTTTTCAGTTTGTGCTTCAATGCAAAATAAAAAATTGATAAATACTGCATATCTTTTTAAGCTCAAAAACATACACAGTTTTCTATACATATAGAGTTTCTATACATATATTCATAGAAAATCTTAGAGAATGTCAAACATTAATGATTTCAAAGGAATTATCAAACAAACCATTAAGCAAATGTTATTTAATATATAAAATAATTAGGCTATTTATTCTATTTTCTTGTAAATAATATCTAACACCTATAATATATTTTCATATTGATCATTGCATTCATAAATACTAATATAAAAATAAAGCTGGTAATTAAATTATCTAATCATTAAACATTTTAAAGTTTATTTGCTAAGAAAATCATGAATTGATTTCTTGTTTCATAAAAGCTGTTGTCACTTTATTCTTCTAAGTTTCATTTATATCTTATGATGGAAGTAAGATCATACACTTCTCTTTTAGATGGCAATGTCTTCTGATACCTACACGACAAAAAATGATGTATGTTTTATAGGATTATCCCAACAAAACTGCAATGACTTGCATAAATTAGACAAAGCAAAAAGTATCAAAATCATTTATCATCTCTGAATAATATGGCTTGTATAAAGATTTCCTAACTTCTCCTGTTAGATTTAGAATAAGAGAACTATTATATAAAACATGACCCACAATACATTTTAAGAAAAATAGTAAATAAGGTAATTAAAAGAAAACAATATGGGCACAAATTAGAGAGAATACTTTAGAATTGGTGATGATATTGATCATAATGAATTATGTTTTTCATCTCTTCCTTTTAATACACTTTCTACCTAAATATATTTAAAAGGAGGAAAAAAAGAGAAAGAAATGAACCACACAGTGATCACAGAGTTTGTCCTTCTAGGCCTTTCTGATGATCCTGAGCTTCAGATTGTGATTTTCCTCTTTTTATTTATCACATATGTATTAAGTGTCACTGGAAACCTGACCATCATCACTTTAACCTGGGTGGACTCCCATCTCCAGACACCAATGTATTTCTTCCTCCGAAACTTCTCTTTCTTAGAAATCTCCTTTACTACTGTGTGTATCCCCAGATTTCTGGGGGCAATTATTACCAAAGACAAGACTATTTCTTACAACAATTGTGCAGCCCAACTATTCTTCTTTATTTTCATGGGGGTGACTGAATTTTACATTCTAACTGCTATGTCCTACGACCGCCATGTTGCCATCTGCAGGCCCCTGCATTACACAGCCATCATGAGCAGGAAACTCTGCAGGCTGCTTGTGCTCTGTGCTTGGCTGGGTGGGCTTCTGACCATTTTCCCGCCCCTTATGCTTCTCCTCCAGCTGGATTAGTGTGCTTCCAATGTCATTGACCACTTTGCATGTGACTATTTTCCCCTTTTACAATTGTCTTGTTCAGATACATGGTTCCTAGAAATAATTGGTTTTTACTTTGCTTTGGTTACCTTGCTATTCACTTTGGCCTTAGTGATTTTGTCATATATGTACATTATTAGAACTATTCTGAGAAGCCCATCTGCCAGTCAGAGAAAAAGGCCTTCTCCACTTGTTCCTCTCACATGATTGTCATCTCCATCTCCTATGGAGGCTGTATATTCATGTATGCTGATCCCTCGGCCAGAGAAAAGGCATCACTGACAAAAGGAGTAGCTATTCTCAATGCCTCTGTGGCCCGCATGCTGAACCCCCTCATCTACACCCTGAGAAACCAGCAAGTGAAACAAGCCTTCAGAGACATGGTCTATAAAGCAGCCTTTTCTGCCAATAAATGACTTTTTGGTCAACTTTAAAGGGCAGTTTGTTAATTCCTGAAGTTCCTTGAAGTCTGTATAACTATGGTTGGACTTTATGGTCTCTTAACACGCCACCTGACAGTTGCTATATTATTTTCCCAGTCTGTTGCTTCTACTTCCATTTTGTGTCTCCAGTGTATTGCTTTTTGACATTTAAAGATATAATAAAAGTTATCTCTCATGCAAAACTTTTGTAAGAATGAAATTTATTTCTTTAAGATATAGCACAATGTGAAAGATAGTTTTAATTCCCTTAATCAGTCCCTGAAAAGATCCTATGATACCACCTTGTACTTCAAATATAGAGTTTCAAAATGAGTGTGTAATTTCCTGTGTATTTTCAAGATGAACATTGATATTTCCTATGGCTTAAAGAATCTATATATTCTGTGTGATATTACAGGTGAAATAAAAATATCTCCTGACATATCAACAAACAAAAAATGTCACAGCCATCAGCAATTTCTGGTCTCCAAATGTGAATGAGGGCTCCCAAAACTTTCATCTGGCAGAGTCTCATTCCCTCATGGTGATTGCTGAGTACATGGGGGTGATGCAAGAAGTAGCCACTTGCTACTCTTTAAGGTGAACAAGGGAACAGGATTTGGTCCCAGATAGCTGAGGTGCCTATGAAAGGAATTAATTCAGTGAACCTCAAGGCTTGTATCTTCCCATACCTAGATTGTTAAATTCCTTAATTTGATACCTGATCTTTGGTGTTCAGACTGCCTGCTGTCTTTGTTGCAAACTTGTATATAGTCTGACTCCCTCTCCTGTCTTCTTGAAACAGTTTTCTCAGAGCTACTGAGATGCTGTTTCCTGGGCTCAGAGTCCTAAACATTCCCATCAAATAAAATAGCTCTCTTCTTTCAGGTTGTGACTATATATTTTAGTCAACATACACTAAATTCAGTCCCAAGAGATATGTACTCTTGCATCGGACTTTTAATGTCAAGATATTTATTTTGTGAAATTCAATACATGTTTTGAAGGTAAATATTGACCATGATATCATGTATTTTGTATATAATTCACATATTCTCTACTATTTTGGAAAAAATTTTATTCAAATAATTCAGAATAAATTCAATAAACCTAAAACACTGCCACTTTCCTGAATTTAGTGGTCATATTTATGACAGCTATTTTGATGTCTTTGTCAAGTGTTCAAAAACCTCCATTTGTTTAGGGTAAAATTTTTGAGGTTTATTTTATTTGATTGGGTTACTTTCTGTTTCTTCTTGTCACTTGTAACTTGGTGTTTTTACCTACACCAAGTCCAGTATTTTGGAGTTGGATTTGTTCAGGACTTCATCATCATCAAGTCCACCAAGAGATTTGGGGGCATCTCACATATTTTATGAGGATGACTTTAGGATGCTTCAGAGGGTCCCTGAGACATCCCAAAGAGCTATTAAACTACCTGGGTTGATTAGACATGTTAAGTTACATGGGAAGTATTGTTGAAGGGATGATAAATCTCAGGTCATACTATATGGTTGATTTACTAATACAGATATCCTAAAATTATGTGGAATTCATATAGATATGATATGCCCTGATAAAAATGTGGTCAATTATAATTCCAGTTATCATATTAGTGTTACATATCACGCAATGGCCAGGATACTTTGTCAATTGCAATTTAATCATATTTTTAACATGCCTTCTATGGTTTCATTCTGATGCCTTTGCAAGAATACTGCTATTTCAAGATTTATGGAAAAGACTTTTCTAAGATTAACCAATAAAAACTTTCGTTTGTTTGTTATCTGGTAAACTGGTAACAGGCTGGAATTTAGTCTATTCTCTAGGTTAAGAGAACACAGTTTTCTTAGAATGAAACTTTCAATAACAGATTATAAATTTCTTTGCCTTTAAGTGATTTTATTTGTTTTTAAAATCTTTCGTTACTTTGCTAAAGTAAATAAGCATTATTAAAGATTATGGTACATGTAAAAGCTCATTCTTGCTTCTACAAAAAATAACCCTTCACTGTTAGACTTTTACTATTCTGATGTCCTTAAAACATGGCAATAGTCTACTCCTAAATCAGGGAATTAAAAACAGGTTAACAATAGCTGTATATCAAAGAGTCAGGGCTATGGGAAATCCAAGATGGCCACTTGGATTTTTCAGGCCCCCTGACACACCTCATTTTTATTTGATGGGTTAAAGCCTTCCCTGGCTACAGGGTTAATGCCCTCACAATGACAAAAAAAATTATATTTAACTTAATATTAAGTTCTAGTTTTGTTAATTAAGGTCTGTGTTTCAGTTCCGTTCAGTTTCAGTTCCGTTCAGTCACTCAGTCTTGTCTGACTCTTTGCAACCCCATGAACTGCAGCATGCCAGGCCTCCCTGTCCATCACCAACTCCTGGAGTTTACTCAAACTCATGTCCATCGAGTTGGTGGTGCCATCCAGCCATCTCATCCTCTGTCGTCCCCTTCTCCTCCTGCCCCCAATCCCTCCCAGCATCAGGGTCTTTTCCAATGAGTCAGCTCTTCGCATGAAGTGGCCAAAGTATTAGAGTTTCAGCTTCAGCATCAGTCCTTCCAATGAACACCCAGGACTGATTCCAGCTTACTATGACTCAATTCTGAAATAGTTCCTTGCTGTTATGTTATATTGCTAAAAGGTTTAATTAAGTTATTAAAGAGGACACTCTAAGTTTGTTTCTAAAGCTTATCTCAATAACCAACCTTTCGATGTACAACCAGGAGAGTCATTTAACCAAGTCAGATGACCCGAGATATGCTGGGCTATACCTAATGAAATTTCTTGACTTAAATTCATGCTTGTGACCTTATTAACAGCTGCTAGCTGTACTATTTTCTATGTCTGTTTCAGAAGATTGTTTCTTACATTAATAAATGTGTGACTGAGTCTGTGATAAAATGCTGATAAACAGTTCCATATGAGATCAATGATTGTAATAATGCAACTCTAGATATGGGAAGAAGCAACAAGAGGAAATATTTTCCTGGACCAAGAGGCTAGTAAGACAGGTATGGTCCAGAGACTTTTGCTACTCACAAGTCCTGGTCCAATAACAGCTCACTGAGTGGCCTATCAATGGAATCTTCCCTGGACCCGGGAATGAGCCTTCCCAGCACTGCTGGACACAATGGGCATGAAACGTCCCCAAAGCATGGTCACATATATGGCTATGAAAGGACCCTGCTAACTGGGAGTTGGCACTTGCCAGCTCCCTCTACAAAGATTACATCATGACCATTGCAAGCTGCTGACCTTCAATACCCCTTGAAAGGAGCTCAGGATGGAGATCAGAAATAAGGCATTCTCTGCTCTGGGAAAAGCCCAGAAGAACTGGCCTTCAGACAGTCAGATGTTTTCAGGTAAAGATTTTATGAGCCCAAATTCTTGCATCTTCTTGTACCTAGAGAAACACTAATGTCACGAACCAATGTCTGGTCCTGGTTCTCCTGGTTAGCCCCTGAGCAGCTTTTCCACTTCTTTTAATCTTTGAGCCATGTTCCTTTAACTTTTTTGTTGTTTGTTTCTTCTAGAATACAACAAATCCCCAAGTGGTAGTACAAAAACAATATCCTCTGACCAACCCAAAGACGATGCTGAAACAAATCACCTTATCATTCCGTGGACTCTCATCTCCCTCCATAAATGCGCCCTGACAAAGAAGCAGGCAAGGGGAACCCGGAGCCCCATGACACCCCGTACAGCCTGAAGAAGCCAGAGTGGTCATCGCTCCTCTTCTCCTGAGGCTGGGTTCCCAAATGCCTAAGAAGGGAAATAGGTAGATAGTTAGACATGAACAAGGTATCAACAGGGGTCAAAGAATTGGCCCTAAAAATAAAGGAAGGGAGGAATGTTGTGACCCAAGGACTAAACAGCAGATAAAATCAAGGAGGGTCTTGGAATGCAGGAACGGAAAAACCAGATACATATGATCCTTCCCTCCCCCATGTTTTAACTATTAAGGGATTTCAGGTCCTCCTGAGCAGTACAACCTGTCTCCCCTCCTACCCGGCACAGGGTAGGTATTTGCCTTGCTCTTCCCCACCCAGTATACGTGCCTCATCCAATCAGCAAATGACCCGCAAGACGCCGATCCCTTTCCTTGTACTTGTACCCTGGTATAAAAGTGGACTAAGGGCTGTTCAATGTCGGTTCTCCCTTGAGCTGGCTCACTGTTCTAACAGCGTCTCCCATTCTTTTTTCTTTTTTAATTTATTTATTCTTTTGTTGAAGGGTAATTGCTTTGCAGAATTTTGCTGTTTTCTGTCAAAGCTCAACATGAATCAGCCATAGGTATACATATATCCCCTCCCTTTTGAACCTCCCTCCCATCTCCCTCCCAAACCCACCCCTATTGACACAGAACCTTTGTTTGAGTTTCCTGAGCCATACAGCAAATTCCCGTTGATGATCTATTTTACGTATGGTGATGTAAGTTTCCATGTTACTCTTTCCGTATATCTCACCCTCTCCTCCCCTCTCCCCATGTCCATAAGTCTATTGCTTCTCAGCCTTTTGGCTAAGATGAAGTGTAGTATCTGTTCTTATCAGCATCTCCCACTCTAATAAACTTTATTTCCCTCTCATTCTGTCTCATGTCTGGAAATTCTTTTCCAACCTGTGCACGGACCACGACAGTATCTTCTATATTTGTGTTTGGAGATTCCTTGGTAGGCTGATTAAAGTTTGGGTCATATCTATTTTGATCCTGTAGTGTCCCTAGTGCTCCTATAGTATCTAAAGATAGAAGAATCTCAATAAATGTTTGTTGAATGAATAACAGTGATTGAGTCAATAGATGAGGTTTATTTAATTTTCTATCCTTTCTAAAATTATATTAAAAGGAATCCGAGTTGCAAATTCTTGCAAAAATTCCTAGATTTTACGCTTTCAGTAACTACTGGAACACAGACCATCAATCAGATGAAAACAGGACCTCTGATAGATCCTTCTCAACAATTATTACCATTATTATGGAAA